TGGTCTGTGTGTTTTTGTGTTTATATCGCTGTTAAAGGACTCACATGATGCTGTACACTCTTCATCACTGGCTGGCTTCACAATGAACTCACCGCTGGATGCAGGTGCCTCTCCTTTACTGACCTTTTGACCTCTCATACACACACACACACACACACACACACACAATTGGTCTGAAGGTAGATGTCTGTCAGTGATAAATTTAGATACAGTTAGCTGACTTTAGACGTGTTTCTGGATGCTTTATGGAGACCCAAACAGACAGATTCCCTCTGACATGATGTACATCTGATCATATAATGAAGATGAATTACTGATTAAAGTTATTTCATAGTTTTAATGACTTTTTATTTATTATTATTTTACAACATGGGAAAAGGTCCAAATAAAGAATGTAAGGTGAATCAGTGTAGCTGATATTGTAGCCGGTATATTGTGTGACAGACTCGTCTGAGAGGTTTTGAAATGAGTTCATGAGTGTGTGTTGAGTGACGCAGATGGTGTGATTGTTTGAGTGATGTCAGCACTGAAAACTTCAGCTTCATATGGGCTCATCCATCCTCAGAGCTCTCTGGGTGGAGACCAGCAACATTCCTCACACACTGACATACGAATGTAGTTCCTTTTACAGTCTATTACACAATAAAACACAAAGATACACACGCACACAGTCAGACTTACAAAACACACATATATGCACACATAAACAAGCAAGCTTATAAAACACATTCAATTAACATACATATACACACTACAGTTTAAAAGTTTGTTGACTGAAAGATTTGTGTCTCTTCTGCTCTCCAAGGCTGCATTTATTTGATAAAAAATACAGTACAAACAGTAAAAATGGTTAAATATTATTGCGATTTCAAATACGTGTTTTCTATGAGAATATCTGTTAAACTGTAATTTATTTCTGTGATCAAATCTGAATTTTCAGCATCATTACTCCAGTCTTCAGTGTCACATGATCTTCAGAAATCATTCTAATATACTGATTTGCTGCTCAAGAAACATTTCTGATTATTATCAGTGTTGAAAACAGTTGTGCTGCCCAATATTTTTGTGGAAACTGTGCTACTTTTTATTTTTCAGGATTCTTTGATGAATAGAAAGCTCAAAAGAACAGCATTTATTTGAAATAGAAATCTTTTGCGACATTACTGTCACTTTTAATGCATCCTTGCTGAACAAAAGTATTAATTTCTTTCCAAAATATATGACTGACCCATTTTGAACAGTAGTTCACTCACACATCTGCTTTGCATCATATCTCCACCTGCACTATATAAAAGTCGCATGCACTTGTGTACTTTAGCCTCAAGAGGGCGCTGTTGCAAACGAACCCTAAAAGCCCTATTTTTTATGCGTTACAAGTGCCTTGTCTTATTCATTGTATGTGTGTTGTGAGGTTTGATATGTACATGGTCTCCATCCAGTGTGTCTGATTTGATTATTCGGCCAAAATTAAAAAATCGAAAAGCCAAAATAGGATTTTTATTGTTATATTCGAGATAATTATGTGCTACCACTCTCTGGATTAAACAAGTAATGCAGTAACGTCACGTGATAACAATGTAGCTGCTGTTTGAAATGTTTATCATTACATAATGCATAGTTTCACATATTATTAGGCCTGAAATATACTCTTATCAAGTACAGCCACAGGAACACATGAAGCATTCATAAGCTGTATACAGTACATACTGTGCATTATGCAGTTTTCAGTACTCTATTCCAAACACACTCTGGTCTTTATAGATAGAACAGGCTGTTTTGCTGGTGTGGTTATTTTTATCTGTCCCCTTTTACCTTGGGAGTGTCTGTTTCTCTGTCACAGACCTGTGCAGATGACCTATTTTACAACACTGCCATTGTTTTGTCTGGAGAGGAAGAGCAGGAAAGCTATACTGTAGGTCTGTGTGTGTGTGTTCAAGAATTAAGCAATCAGTACAAGTAACAACAAGTATTATCAAGAGCATGCATGACTAGAGAGTCAATAAATGCATTTATTTTCACAAGAAAGCAGTGTTTGTCCATGCAAAATTCACAAGTGCAATGCTAAAGTGTTGCATAAGCTTTTGAAAAGCTGTTTTGAATGGTGTTATCACGCGGTTGCTAGGGTACTCTGGTTGGTTGCTAAGGTGCCGGGTGATGCGTGCTTTAGCAAACTGCTCTAAAAACTGCTTGGGAAAATAGTGTTGCGATGTGTTTGCTGCCACAGAGGAACTTCATCTCTGTCACGCATTAGGAATGTCTCGCTCCTGGGAATTGTGCTTTTTCTGGATTACAAAAAGATTTCCTCCGTTTCCTAATTCATTCGGCAGGCCCGAGGGTATTCCATGTCACGAACCGGTGCTTTACATCCTAGTTTTCTTTTAAACTGGCTGATTGTCAGGTGTTTTCCCCACAGGGTGGTTTAACAGTGTTTTCATGATGTTGTTTAAAGAGCAAAGAGCCCATGAAATCACATTTGGAGTTTTGTGAAGAGGGAGAAACAGAGAGATTCAAAGGGTGTTCCCAGTCAAAACTGACTTGCCTTTTAAAAACTGCTTGTAAATCTCCAAATATTGGATTCGATCTTATTATTAGCTTGTTTTCTTTCAGTTAGCACAGTATTTCTTTTTGGAGCTGATTGATCACAGGCCTATTGATGTGAGATAAAATAGCATAACAAGAAATTTATAAGCACTTTTTTGTTTTCCAATGTGGAAAAAATCCTCAAAAAGTACAAAAAATATCAACGTTTTTTGGGAAGTTGTATATTGCTATATCTCGCTTCAATTATACACTACAAAAACATTTGTAAAGTACAATTTTAAGTATTTTTCATTTTTCGTTTAAATTACATTAATATGTTTTAATTTCTTACATTACTTATACTAGTATCAATTGGTCTATTGGTTTGTAATCAATATTAAATGTGTTTCATCAGGGAATTTGGATGAAAGAATCCCAAATCTCTAATATCTCAGTTGTTTCTCTCTATAAGATTTAATGGAGAGGAAATGGAGACTCCTGCTTCTCAGATGTTTCTCCTGAGAAACTGAACGCAGAACTCAATGTCTCAAACTGTGCTCATATTTAACACCAAAATCTAACTATAATGCAAAGAATCTGAGCAGAGACATTTTTGTCTGCAAAGTCAAAATCCAAATTTTCGTCTCTTTATTCTTTGGATTTTAAGCTGAGTGTCGTCTTGCAGATGGAAAATCAAAGACTTGTTTGTTTGTTTACGGAAAGAAGCTTTGGGAAACAGGAAGTGTACTGCTTAATGTCAACACAACGTGTCCAAATGTGCCTTTGAAAAGGGCCTGCGTGCGTGCTGCTAATGCTTTTACTGAGATTACACCGCTGAGAGAAACAGGTGAAGATGAGACGAGACAGAGCGTCTGAGAGCAGATAACAGGACAGGATCAAACAGAGGAAAAACACACAGTGACAGAAAGACTGGAGGAAAAACAGCCTGACACGGACACAGAGGAACTCAGAGAGAGATTCAGAGTCAGAGGAGAATCTCACCAAAGCTGTCGAGAACACGTCTGGCTCGTATTTTACCCAAAGATCAAAGGAAAGAAATCAAGAAATGTGAAAAATGCAATTTAAAAGTAGAGATTTAAGCATATTTTAAGACCCAATGTTATATATTAAAATAATATTTAAAAATATATATATTTTATTTTTGTCTTGTAGTTTATTTTATTATTGTGATTGAAATTTAAATCAAAATTCAGTACAGTTGTCTCTATAATTGCAGCAATGTGAATTCTCATTCTCATTGTAATTTATTTTAATATGACTAAAATTAAATGAAATAAATGTTAAAATTATATAAATAAATAAATATTTATGCAAGTATACTTTGTGTTTTGCATCGTGACATTATTGTGACAGTTAACCACATTTCTCCACAATTTATCATTTTCATTAGTGCATCGTGAAAAACTTTGATATAGTGCTTCGATAATAAAGTACATTAGGGTACATGTTTTACCAAATGTAATTAATTTTGATTTTTTATTAAATTACAATAATAAAATAAATTACAACACAAAAAGTCAAATTACATTCATATTTTTCATTTTAAAATTCATTTAATTTGAGTAATTTTACAATTATGACAATAATATTTTTCTTGTTGAAGTAAATTAAAATGCTATTTTTAGAATTAAAATTTTAAATATTTTCATTTTAGAAATAATCTAATTTGAGTAATTGTACAATAATGACAATAATTACAAAAAAATAATTTTTTTCTTGTTGAAGTAAATGAAAATGCTATTACATTAATATTTTTCATTTTTGAGCAAGTTTACTAAACTACAATAAGAATGAGAATTTTCACCTCTGCGGTATAAAAAACTTTGATATTACAATTTTTTATAGTACAGTACAATTATAAAGTAAAAAATAATTTGAACTGAATTTAATTTATTTTTATAAAAATAAATTACAATACAAAAAGTCAAATTACATGAATAGTTTTCATTTTAAAATCAATCTAATTTAATTTGAGCAATTTTGCAATAATGACAATAATTTCAATAATGAGATTTAATAATGATTTCCTTGTTAAAGTAAATAAAATGCTAAAAGATAATAATATTTCTCATGTAACAGCAATAAGAAAGTTTTTTTTTTGTTCCACAGTCATGAGAATTTAATAGGTGTGCTTAACTGTCATGAAAATAATATCACAATGCCTTTCAGCCTTCATTTTCTTTACCTAAAAACCAACTTTCATATTTCTTTCCTCTGGGTTTGTGGTGAATCTCGAGCTGGTCATTTGTTCGTGCGATTCACCCATGCAGAGATAAATGAAAGGAGAAAGACAGAGCGCAGGGAAGAGATGAAGGCAGACAGCTGTGTTTTTGTGTTGCTATTTTGAGTGTCTGGCCGCTGCTCTACTCCCCTGGTCTGGCCCGGCCTATTTCTGTCCTGGGCTGGTCCTGCTGCTATTCTTGGCACCTGAGAGAGAGCGAGAGAGAGAGAGAGAAAGACAGAGCGCAGTTAGGAAGAGTAACAGAGAGAGAAAGCGTGAGAGCGCTGCTTCAGTTTCCTGTGCAGAGGCTGAGAAGCAGTAACAGAGTTGAGCTCCTCACCTGTGACGTCTCCTCGCTCATCTACCTGATGAAACCCAGCAGGGACGACTAGAAGAACTCACAGAAGAAGCACAAAGAGGCTTGGAAATCCCCGAAGGACTCCGCACAGGAGCAGAGGCCGCTGAGAGCGCGTGGAGACGTTATGCTGCAGACCATTTATGAATCTGACTCCAGCATCAGTGCAGAGTGGAGGAGGAGACGCCTGGACTCTCACAGCACAGACATCGCTACAGGTACAACACTCGCAACAATCTATCAGACGCTCCTCTCAGAATTCCAGTGATGGAATTCCGTCTGATACAATGTTGCAATGTTTAACAAATGAGTTGTTGTTGATGTTCAATCGAGGTACTTTGTCAGAAGCAAGTCTCCATTTGCTCTCATTGCGGTCTACACACATTGTCTCATTTTCCAGTACAAATATCAAAACATTCTTAAATCAAGATATATTAACGGGAGAAGCAAAATGACATAAGATATAAAGTCTTGTTTTCTGAAAAATCGATCAAAATTAAGTCAATTTACGCTTACAAATGCAAATGGGTAAGAAAAATAAGACCAATTTTTCCTTTGAATTAAGTTTATTTTTCTTAACTCAAGTGGCAGATTTTTTTCTTCTTGTTTTAAGTTTAAACTAACTTCATTTTGTTATGTTTACAGACCATTTTTTATATAAATATATATTTAAATATGTTTATTTTTGCTAAGGAATTTTAGGAGAAACGACTGAGACAAAGCTAATTTGTAACTGAAACTAATTTTTTAATTCTAAATATTAATGTAATTTAATGTATGCAATTCAGTAAAAAACATTTTGTACTTTATAATTTGTTATACATATATGAATGTGTGTCTGTGTGTGTAGTAATGCAAATTCTAATTGTTGTGATTTCTGTAAGTAAGAGTGTAAGAGAAACAACTGAGACATTAAGGAGATCTCCTTCTGGGCAGGTGTCATGTGAGGAAGAGCTCAGAAGTCGTTATATAAGTAAATTCTAAATATTAATGTAATTTAATGTATGCAATTCAGTAAAAAACATTTTGTACTTTATAATTTAAGTTATACATATATGAATGTGTGTCTGTGTGTGTAGTAATGCAAATTCTAATTGTTGTGATTTCTGTAAGTAAGAGTGTAAGAGAAACAACTGAGACATTAAGGAGATCTCCTTCTGGGCAGGTGTCATGTGAGGAAGAGCTCAGAAGTCGTTATATAAGTGAATATAAGTGCTATAAAAAGAATGTGGAGCAGCTAACATCATTTGATGAGAAACTTCAGTTATAAAGTACAAAATGTTGTATTCAATTTCATTTAGTACAATAATAATAATAATTGTTTTTGTACAAAATAAAAATAAAATAATAAATTAGATTAATATTTAACATTTTTTAATTAATTTATTGAATTAATTTAAATGACCAGTAATGAGAATGAGAAATTTGATTATTGCAATGTGAAAAACTTTGATATATTGCAGTATAGAAAATAAAAATACATTAATATTTATGATTTATGATTAAAATCAATTTTATTTGTATCATTTACAAATCAGCCTTGTCTCAGTTTCTTCTAAAATTCCCTAGGAGGAAAAAAAAAAAAGACAGATAGTTGTTATGTACAGTATAAGAGAACATAAAGTGAGATTATGAGAGCAACTCAGATAATTTGCTCTTGGGAGTTGTTGATGAGAAATGTTTGAGTTCATTTGGAGGTCTCTGCTGTATTTGTGATGTGAGTTATGGGGAATTTCACATCAGAGTGTGTGTGGATGATTCAACAGCTCTCAACCAGGTCAAATCTATATCCAGACATCACTGAGAGCTTCATGTTTGTTTCATTGTTTGATTTTTTACAAAGGCAAGTGACTCGCTTCACTGAATCAAAGCAGGTTTCCATCAGACGCTCACCTGTTCATCAGGCCTGTTTCAGGCTTTATTCAAATCCAGCTGTAGGTTTCTGATCTCAGATCAGTAGTATCCTCATAAATCTTGATTCATTTAATGAAGCTGGACTCAAACAAACTCCCTTTTGCTTTTAGCAACTAATGTTAGCTTACTTATTGAATACTCTGAAGTATATACTGCATACTAACTTAAAAACAAGTATTGTAGTATGAATTGTGCAGTGATAAACATTTGAATCAGTAGCTTGCTAAATTGTCACATTACCTCAATAATTTGTGAATTTTATTAAAAGAGTGCCAGTTATGTTGTATTTTTTTAAGCAAAACCATCTTAACTTTTGGTGTGCATGTTAAAAATGAGTCAAGCAGGAGATATTAATAGGTTGGCGTTACTTCTGGTTCATTCATCACACTGGAAATGAAAGGTCAAGTTGAGCACATTGCATTGTGGCATACTACCTCAAGCAAAGTGCTTTGTTGTATACTAAGTTTTTGCAAATGTATTCAGTCATTTAGTTGTTCTGTGAATAACAACATTTGCATACATGCTGCAGAAATGCACTGCGAAAATAATTTTCTTACAAATAAATGTATCTTGTTTTAAGAATTTTAGGTACTTGTAAAGGAAAACAAGAAAAAAATACTTTCTGCAGTGTAGTAAGAGTAAGACGCTAGTATGCTTCTAAAATGATCTATTGATTACTGAGTCCGGCAGCTTGTCAGTGACAGATTTCACTCACTGAGTTTTGAACAGTGCAGTGATGCGATCTGGACTCTGCTTTTAGCATGCGTTATCTGTGAGGTGTTGTTTCCTTCAGAAGTTCCTCCAACTGTGTGTCTGTGTCCCATTTAGCATATATTTCTACTATGCACTAAATGTTTGTACTTTTTTTTCTACAACTGAAAAAGTCTAAAGTGATTTTGATCTTCTGTAATGCATGGGATTGTGTGTAATAGCAGCCCAAAAAGCATATAAAGTACAAACAGTTGGATCTAGGCATTTTTAGCATACTATTTTCATGTAAAGTGATTTGGAATGCACAAATTATAATCTTGCATACTATTTAGGATGGATAGTATGCAAACTGGGACACAACTAATTAATTAACCACAATAAACTACTGTTCAGTAAGATTTATTTACTTTGAAAAAAGTATCTTCTGCCCACCAAGGCTGCATTTATGTTGATCAAAAATACAGTAAAAATTGTGAAATGTTATTACAATTTCAAATAACTGTTTTCTATGTGAATATCTGTTAAAATGCAATTTATTCCTGTGATGCAAATCTAAATGTTCAGCATCAGTGTCACATGATCCTTCAGAAATCATTCTAATATGCTGATTTGCTGCTTGAGAAACAGTTCTGATTATTATCAGTGTTGAAAACGAATATTTTTGTGTAAAACGTGACACATTTCATTTGTCAGGATTCTTTGAGGAGTAGAAAGTTCAAAAGAACTGCATTTATATGAAATAGAAATCTTTTGTAACATTACAAATGTCTTTACCGTCACTTTAAACGAATAAAAGCATTCGTTTTGAATGCTAAACTTCTGAATGGTAGTGTACTGTCAAGTCTAATCAGGGCTTAGCAGGTGGATGCGTGTTTACTTCATACTTGATTTGTCATTTCTAAGAAACATCTTTTGACAAGTGTGTTGTGTTCAGGTGTGTTTGTGCGCGGCGTCCCACTTTAGGAATGGCGTGAGAGGGCAGTTATTTGCCCCTCTGTGCCTCTGCGCTCCGTTACTGCCCGCGGCTGCATGTTGAACGTTCTGGCCTCTTGACTTCAAGCTCGACTATTCTTAGCCACCGTATTTTGGGCTTAAGGCATTAGGATGCTAAGATTAGCCCCGGTTATCATTCCGTCTGAGTTAACTCCTCACATAACTACATACCGGAAGGCTTTATTTATAATGCACACTCTTTTCTCTGTTTTTTTAATAACAGCAGGAGAAAAAAAAACCATGAGATGTTTTCGAACTGAAGATTTTAAAAGTCAGAGAGTTGCGTTTCATGCACGTCTCGGCTCTTTTATTGCATTCAGAGTGCATGCTGCAGTATTTTTGGTGTCGACTGACACCTTTGGCCAGTGTTGTGGTTCTGTTTTGGTGGTCTGTGCTTTTTGCGGCCTGTGTATTCTGGGCCGGGGGCCCGATGGAGTCTCTGTGGCGAGAGATGGTTTCACAATGCCACGGTTTTTATTTCAACGCCTGAACGTGGACGTGATGCTGATATTCTGAGTCAAATGCTGCAACTGTCGCCTCTTACATAGTTAGCCTCATAACCTACCATCAAAGAATAACTGTGTGCGACCAGACGAAGGTTTTATTGCAGCGAGGATTTTCTTTCATAACTCAGGAGACTTCATGGAGAGCTTGGTTAGGTTTTAATAAAGAATCAACTTTATCAACCAGATTTTTGAGGAAGAATAAAAATAAACTCAAGAGAGAGAATTATTGACATACTGTAAGAGTATAGGGATAAAGTATGAAATTTATGAGTTCGTATTGAGATTTCAGCCTTGTCAAATCTGAGCACATCGAGATCTCTTTTGTATGGAAGCCCAATTCCCGCCACATAAGAAAAAAAAATCAGGATTTGGTAAATCATAATTATTAAAATGGCATAATTATGACATAAAAATAATGAGATGTTTTGAAAGTTAGTTTTATCTTATTTTGTTTATCTCATATTTGATCACTTTTTATCTCATAAGTCATAATTATGAGATAAAAAGTTAAAATTATGACATAAGTCATATTTATGAGACAAAGTCACAATTATGACATACTAAGTCTTAATTATGAGATAAAAAGTCAAAATTATGAGATAAAGTCAAAATTATGACATTAGGTCACAATTATGAGATAAAAAGTCAAAAATATGATATATTAGGTCTTAATTATGAGAGACAAAGTAGAAATTTCGACATACTAAGTTATAAATATGAGATAAAAAGTCAAAATTATGACATACATAGTCTTAGTTATGAGATACAAAGTTGAAATTATGACTACTAAGAAGTCATAAATATGAGATAAAAAGTCAAAACTATGATATACTAAGTCACATTATGATAAAAAGTAAAAATGATGATGTACTAAGTCATGATTATGACTTTTTATCAATTTTGGTCAATCTCCACTTTAAGTCATAATTTAGACTTATTTTCTCATAATCAATAATACTTTCTCACTTTGTTCCCATAATGTTATGTCATAATTTCAACTTTTGAGATGACTGGGGTCTTTTCATCATGAGAAACATCTTAGAAACAATTGAGAAACTGATACTGATACTAAAAGAGATCAAATATATCCCATTGTTTTTCATTTCATTCTTATGGCGTAGTTTGTGGGCCTGATAAAGAACACATGAGGAAAGCAGTACATGCACTAATAGTTTTATTAGCGAGGAGTTTGTTTCGGGCAGCAGATTAAGGGCATGTTTACGAGTGAGTTTTTACAGCATAGCTTTTTTAAGGCACGAGGCCAGATCGTTCTCTCTCTAAACACACACACATACTACACACATACACGCCAAACGCCTTTCCTTTTCTCATCGTTTCGTTCACATGAGTAAAAATACATTAAGTGCAGCTCAAATGTGACAGTCACATGCTGTCTCGCTTTAGATTGAGCTCAAATAAGATTTGGGCCTCGAACAGGAGGTTGTTGAAATACCTCCATGTTTATGCTCAAGGCATTTGAAATAGACCCCATAAAAAGACCCTCCCTGTGTAGATTATGCCTGTAATTGCCCTTGGGTTTATTTAAAGACCTAAAGAAGGGTTTCATTTGTCGTTTTCATGCAGCCAACACTGCAATCCTTTCTTTCTGACACAATCAGCTTGCAATCTGTATGAGCATTAAACTGGGGGGATTATTTTGTCCAAAATGATCTCAGATAAAGGCAAAGGAAATGTGAAGCAATCTTTACAAGCTCACTTTTGTCAGAATGTGTCAGAACACAATTCATAATGCAATGCAAGTTTGTGTATATTATTGTACACTGTCTCAGTTTCAGGTCGACAGCTGTCATGGTGGAGCAATAGTTCAAAGAGAATCTTGATGAGCAATTTAGTTAAAGTTAGTTAAACTGTTGACATGTTTGTATCTAATTACCAGAAGGTTGTGGGAGATGCTAGTTCAGATCCGTCTTGAGAAGCTAATTTAAACAGCGAGTAGCCTGGGAAGCTACAGTTTCAAACTAGTTTTAAAGTATTAATCTACAGTCAAAAATACTGTTTAAGGGGGCAACAGTACACTACTGTTCAAAAGTTAGGGATTTGTAAAAATGTTTCTATTTCTTTTGAAAGAAATTGAAGCTTTTATTAAGCAACGATGCATTAAATTGATCCAAAGTGTCAGTAAAGACATTTATAATGTAGCAAAAGATTTCCATTTCAAATAAACGCTGTTCTTTTGAACTTTGTTCATCAAAAAATCCTGAAAAATAACATGTATCACGGGTTCCACAAAAAAATATTCGGTTTTCAACATTGATAATAATCAGAAATGTTTCTTGAGCAGCAAATCAGCATATTAGAGTGATTTCTGAAGATCACGTGACACTGAAGACTGGAGTAATGATGCTGAAAATTCAGCTGCGCATCACAGAAATAAATTACATTTTATAATATATTCATATAGAAAACAGTTATTTTAAATCACAATAATATTTAACAATATTACTGATTTTACTGTATTTTTGATCAAATAAATACAGCCATGGTGAGTAAAAGAGTCATCTTTCAAAAACATCAAATAATCTTACCGACCACAAACTTTCAAAGGGTAGTGCAAGTTATTTTTTTTGCAATATGTGGCAGGATTTATGTAAAGTCAAACAAATCAGAGAATCTGTTCTTGATCTGAACAAACAAGTTGACTAAAATGAATCAAAAGTGTGACTTGAAAAGCTACTCTATTTTGAAAACAATCTAATCTCAAACGTGGCTTAATTCCATTCAATCTGGTCTTTCTCTCTCAGATTCAGAGGTGTTGTCTGCGGTGGGCAGCACGTCTGGGGTCAGCATGCTGGACAGGGACCGTGATTCAGACGAATGGGAGAAGCAGTTACAGCGCGAGCTGCTTCTGATCCAGAGACAGCAGCAGATCCAGAAACAGCTGCTCATCTCCGAGTTCCAGAAACAGCATCAGAACCTGCTGAGACAACATCAGGCCCAGCTCGAGGAGCACATCAAGGTACAAGCCTTCATTCACGTGACCCCAGACGGAAGAACATCTACATATACATGCAAATGCAGCACAGTCTGCAAATAAACATTCATTATGCGATTATCATACTGTTTAGAAACTATTACATAAACTGTGACACTAATGAGCAAAATCACCAACCCTGACTGTCAAAATCAAATCAAGACGCTGTTCGTGTCAGATATTTGTAGACCGGATGAAGCTGATGAAGGTCAGTGTGGTTTAAGGTCACTTGACTGACCTGCAGGAAACGATTTGGTTTAGTCTGAGCTGCTCAGTCAACGATTACTGTGGTTAATCTCATTACTTCAGTGAGTGTGAATGAGTGAGTACGTGCAAAATAGAGAAATTATAATTTGTGTAGGATTTCCTTTGAAACAATTTTCACCTAGAAACCGCTAGTAAATTTCACAAATTATTACAAAGAAATGGCAAGTAACACGCTGAATTAAATGTGAAATTGTGAAGCGGTCATCACAAAATAAAGTAAATCACAAAAAATCAAAGCAATTGTCATCTGCGCTTAAATGCTGCAGTATTTCTCTCCAGTCTTTCAAATCATTTTCAGTGACTTATAAAGGATTAGTTTACCCCAAAATGTACATTTTCTGAAGTGCCCTCACTCTCAGGCCATCCAAAATGTAGATGAGTTTGTTTCTTCATCAGATTTGGAGAAATGTAGCACTGCATCACTTGCTCAGCAACGGATGCTCTGCAGTGAATGGGTGCCGTCAGAATGAGAGTCCAAACAGCTGATAAAAACATCACAATAATCCACAAGTAATCCACACCCCTCCAGTCCATCAGTTAAAGCCAAAAGCTGCGTGTTTATAAGAAACAAATCCATCATTAAGGCGCTTTAACTTTAACTGTTGCTTCTGGCTAAAATATGAGTCCATAATCCATAATAACACTTCCTCCAGTGAAAAAGTATATCTCCTGTTGTTTCTGACATCAAAATCCACCTACATTTTTGTTTAGAGCTGCTTTGGCTTGTAAACGGTGCTTGATCTGTGCAGATTTCTCTCCTGATTCAGATGAGATTTCACTGGAGGAAGCGTTATTATGGGTTATGGACTCATATTTTAGCCTTAATGATGGATTTGTTTCTTACAAACACATAGCTTTTGGCTTTAACTGATGGACTGGAGTGGTGTGGATTATTGTGATGTTTTTATCAGATGTTTGGACTCTCATTCTGACGGCACCCATTCACTGCAGAGCATCCATTGCTGAGACACTGATGGAATGCTACATTTCTCCAAATCTGATGAAGAAACAAATATCTTCTTGAATACACATCTTGTTTGAACAAACAAATCTACATCTTGGACGACCTGAGGGTGAGCACATTTCAGCAAACTTTCATTTCTGGGTGAACTATTCGTTTAATCTATATCGTTTTTTAAATGCCACTTGCTGTCAAATTTTGTTATTCGATACGTGACATTTATACATAAAGTGTGCTTTAAATGCCCAAATCCTTCTTGGTGCCACTGTATATCACCATTCCATCGGTCAGAGGCCACTTTGATCTCTAAATAGCAACATCAGCCAGGGTTTTTCCCCCCCTCAACTGTATGTTTCTGATGACCTTCTCTCTGTTCCAGCTCCAGCAGGCTCTGTTAACTCTCCGGCAGCAGCAGGAGGTGTTCGCTGAGGAGCGTCGGCTGGTGGCTGAGGAGGAGAGAGAGGAGGTGCAGGAGGACGAGAAGGAGCTTCACAGGAGGGAGACACAGAAACACCAGCACCACAGGAGGAAGGAGAGATCTAAAGAGAGTGAGAATACAACCGATTCCTGACACGAGGCCTCAGTCATTTCAAGTTTAGCATTTTCATAATTCCCCAAACCGGTCCTATAGTGTTATACCTGGTAATCATGATATACATGTATACGTTTAGAAAAATAATGATAAACTTGTATTTTTATGTCCGGAAACATTTCATATATGACTTAATCCTGTAAATTGATTAATTCACCACTAGGTGACGCTGTCTCTACTTTCTGAGCTGCACATGTAACTTGAGAAGAGTGAAAATATCAAAATCAAAATGCATTGAATTCAAAATGTATTGCTTTTAAGTTATATTAACTTTTTCAGACAATGAGATAGCATACAGCAAATTAGATATTTTAAATTACTAGATTACAAAGAAGCATTATTAGGTTTTAAAACAAATACACTATACATAAATAAGAACAAATAGTAAAATGTATGAAATATTTAATTTTATATTTAATATTTAAATATAAAATTATATTTAAGACAATAATTATGAATTATATTTAAATATTTAAGATATAATTAGGTATTAAATTTAAATAAAATTATATTTAGATATTAAAATATGCAATTATATACAAATATGCTGGAGATAATGTCATTGAGATAGCATACAGGGGGTTTAAAAAAATTAAATACAAAAACATGAATGAATATAAAAATATGTGAAATAAATATTTAATTTTTTACTTAATATTTAAATATAAAACTATAATTAACTATTATATTTAAATAATAATAATAAATTATATTTAAATAAAATTATATTTTGTCATAAAGATAGCATACAGAAAATGTAATTTTACATTAATAGATTGCAAGGAAAATTATTAGGGTTAAAAAAAAACGAACAAATATGAACAAATAGATTGAAAATATATGAAATAATTGTTTAACTTTATATTTAATATTTAAATTGTATATTTAAATATATATATATAGATATTAAATACATACATTTTAGTACAGTTCCATTCCATTAATTATTTATTTCCATTACATATTAACTCTGTGAAAGAATCACATATAGGCTTATAGCTGATACTTTAATCTGTCATAAAGTCTAACTCGGTTTCTAACTTGTTTTCTGCAGGTGCAATGGCGAGCACTGAAGTTCGTCAGAAGCTGCACGACTTTCTGATGAGTAAATCAGCTAAAGACCCGTCAGCGTCCGGCACCGGTTACCCTCTCAACCGCTCCAAACTGTGGTACAGGTACATGCACCTCCATTCAAGAGCATTATCCTGCATTTTAGACTTCTTTTCCATGTGAATGTTTAATCAAATAATAGGATTTGAGCAAATCAACAGTATTAACAGTGTGAGGTGGTGTCATCTCTCACAGCTCCGCCCACCCGGGTCCTGCAGAGCAGAGCTCGCCTCCTCTAGGAGAGACTCCGCCCACCTTCAAATACCCTCTGACCTCCGGCCTGGACTACAGAGAGGACTTCCCTCTCAGGAAGACTGGTAGGTCAGAGTTCAGAGGTCACGCCTCACGCCGATCCTTACAAAATCACTCTAATCTGAGACATCTTCAGGTTTGGGTCTTTGAGCCCTCTCAGGAAGACTGGTAGGTCAGAGTTCAGAGGTCACGCCGTCCTATGATCCTTACAAAATCACTCTAATCTGAGACATCTTCAGGTTTGGGTCTTTGAGAAGGGCAGGGGGATGATGGGAAGGATGTGTGGTTCTTCAGTCTGAATATATAGAGAGGTCTTACACTGTAAACTATGTGTTTTGCATATTATTGCTTATGGCTCAGTTTGATTAGTCCAGACTGAATTGCTCTGTTTCAAAAGCTAGTGAGCTACCTTGCTGTTTACTTCCTGCATGTAGGGCGTTTGCCTAATGCAAAATTAATTTTCTTACCCAGTGTTTTTTTCCAGTACAAATATAAAAAAATTCTTAAATCGACATACATTTACTTGAGCAGCAAAATTATATTACATATTAAGTCTTGTTTTCTATAAATAAATTAAAAAATATGATTTTTTTTTTTTTTGCGTAAAAAATAAAATAAAAAAATCTGCAAATAAGGTCAGAAAAAAAAACGTAAAAGATTTTTCTAACCCCATTGGCAGATTTTTTTTCTCATAAACTCGTAAAATTTTGATGAATATTACATAAAAAATATTTATATCTAAATATCTAATATCTTACATCTAAGATAAAAATATCTTTCATTTTGCTTGCGTTTGTACTGGAAAACAAGACAAAAATACTAAATGAGGAAACCTTTTTTGCAGTTTGTACACACATTTTTGTCTTGTTTTCCAGTACAAATATCTACATGTTCTTAAATCAAGATACAATTACAAAAACACAATTGTTTTTCTTAACCTAATGGCAGATATTTTTCTTGTTTTAAGAGTAAACTTAATTAATTTTGATACATTTGTCTGAAAATAAGACTTAATGCTAATGTATTTGTAATAAATAATACAGTCTTTTTGCTTGTGTCTTGATTTTTATACTGGATTAAAAAAGATTAATAAATAAGAAAATACATTTTTGCATTTTGTACACACATTTTTTGTCTTGTTTTCCAGTACAAATATATAAACATTCTTAAATTAAGATACATTTACTTGAGATGCAAAATTAAGTAAATATTAAGTCTTTTTTTTCCTTAAATCATATTTAGTGTTATTAATTAATTGATATTAATATCAAAATTATGTGAGTTTAGGCTTAATAAAACAAGAACAAATATATGCCAGTGCGGCCAGAAAAATAAACTTAATTCAGAAGGAAACATGATTCGTTTTCTGACCACACTGACAGATATTTTTCTTGTTTTAAGCTTAAACTCACTTCATTTTGATACTTTTTTTTTTCAGAAAACAAGACCTATCTCAAGTCATTTTCCTTCTCAAGTAACTTTATCTTAATTTTAGAATGTCTAGGCATTTGTAATGGATAACAAGACAACCATACTCTGTAAGAAAGTAATTTTTGTAGTGTAAACATTGGGTCAATAGTCCATTTTGAATTATATTAAACTATTGTTCATTCATTTTTTTTAGTATTTCATAAAATATGTTTTTAATCAATAATTCTTATTGGATATTTTCAGTTTGTTTGACCAAAAGACGGTATCTTGAAAGGCGGCATAATTCTGATGCTGTCTACATAGGGTGCTCACTAGGTTTTGGAACAGAGCCCAGTGACCTGCAGCCATGGCGATATGAGCTGATGTGTGTTCCTGCCGCTCGTGCAGAATATAACAGCATTACACGAGTGTCACGGGGGCCCGGTGGAGGTGACACTGCCTAAATGTTTGCAGATGAATCTGGACGATATTTAATCGCCGAGGTCAGGAGTCAACTGAGCATGTCACTGAGCGCAGTGGCCTGTGGGCACAGCTAAATGGGGCCGGTGAGTGACCCTGTTTAGCTTTCGGGTCAGCGCGGTGAGAATGACCACGCTTGTGCCCACTGAACACCCCGGGCCGGCCGGCGCAGAGGTTTGCAAACAATTAGCCAGTGGAGGGGTGCAGAGATGGACCGGTCCGGCTCTCTGGCCCCTAATCAGAGCGCAGAGGTTAACAGGAAGTAGGTGGCTTTGGGTCGCATGGGGACGAATCACCTCAGAGGAGCGTTCAGGATGGTCATTGTGAGCATTTGACCTTTGACCCCGTGTCTTTGGGATTGTTTTGCATGTTTTAATTGTCTTAAATGTCTGAGCGTTTAGTGACGGTAATGTTCAATAGTTTGGAGTTGGTATGACTTTATAATGTTTTTGAACATTATGCTCATCTAAGCTGCTGCAGTTATTTAATCAAAACTACAGTTTAAGTTATTTTTTTGATTGTAATAAATAGCTTACACTACCATTCAAAAGTTTGGGGTTGGTAAGATTTTTTTAATGTTTTCGAAAGAAGTCTCTTCTGCTCACCAAGGCTGCATTTATTTGATCAAAATACAGTAAAAACGGTAATGTTGTGAAATATTATTACAGTTTAAAATAACCGATTTCTATGGAAGCTTGTTAATTGCAACTTTTTATCTCACAAAAACAACACAAGATATGAAGATTTCTGAGTTTATATCTTGCAATTCTGACCTTTTCCTCAGAATTGTGCAATTACCTTTTTTATTTTTTTTTATTACATTTAAAAAAAAAATTGAATGGGCTTCTCTAGATTTCTATTGTGATATGTAATTGATTTCTGTGATGCGCAGCTTGATTTTCAGCATCATTCCTCCAGTCTTCAGTGTCACATGATCTTCAGAAATCATTCTAATATGCTGATTTGCTGCTCAAGAAACATTTCTGATTATTATCAATGTTGAAAACAGTCGTGGTGCTTCACTTTTTTGTGGAAACTGTGATACATTTTACTTTTCAGGATTCTTTGATGCATAGAAAGTTCAAAAGAACAGCATTTACTTGAAATAGAAATCTTTTGTAACATTTTAGAATGTCTTTACTGTCACTTTTGATCAATTTAATGCATCCTTGCTGAATAAAAGCATTAATTTCTTTCAAAAAAGAAAAGTATCTTTCTGACCTCAAACTTTTGAAAGCTAGTCTACATAGTGATAGTATAAAAGTGACTTTGCAAACACCACAAAAAAAGTACATCTGAAAGCATGCTTGTTTTTCCAGGAACTCATATTTGAGTCAACATGATCAGATATTTTCTGCATATTTCGGCATCTCGTTGCGAGGCTGATTTCGAGATGAGTTTGCAGAGGAAAGTGATACGCCTGACTCGATGATAAGACTGAAACCCCTTTCAAAGGAAATGTAAAAATAGACCTGGTTTTCATCCAGGCACTGTTTTCACGGAATTTCCAGCAAGGCCAAAAAACCGGGAGGCTCAGCGGGCCGGAATACCGCAAACCTACGGGGAGATTTTTCCTGAACACAGGGCTCTGCGTGCGCCTCGGGCCGCACCTGGGATGTCTTTTCAGCCCCTCTCAATAACTCAGGTAACAGCTTTTAAAAAGAGGCCCATCCGGTACACTGGGGCGGGGGTACAAAAATACAAAAACAACAGGAACGACGCAAAGACTGGAAAAAAATGAGAAGAAAAACAACCTGCTTTTTTGTCAATGGAATAATTTGTCTACGCTGACAAGACGGTCTGCAGGGCCACTTCCTGCGGCTCCGGTTTCAGACCGTAGATCAGAACGAGCAAAGACAGAGCAGAGGAGGCCAATTAAAACACAAAACACCTCTCTGTGCCTGAAGGGAATGCTTTTTTACGAGTGCAATCATTCCCACAGTTTCGTACCTTAAGTTTCAGGATGTTTAAGCACTGCTCGCAAAACATGGAAAAACAATGTTTTTTATGTATAAATTGAAATATCAAACACCATGTATGTAGACTTCTGGGTTGCCAGGTCTGCGTAACAAAACCAGCCCAATTGCTACTCAGAACTAGCCCAATCCCATTCTAGGAGAAATTGGTTACTAAAATTGCATTCCAAGGGGATCCTCCTTGATCAAAATTGTGTTCACAGCGACAACATGCTTCGCTTCAACCCATGGAAAAAACAAAACAAAACAAAAAACAGCATCAACAGTATAAAAGTAGCCCAATTCTGAAAAACCACACACTTGGCAAAACTGTTCTGAGGCCTCATTCCCAGTAGATTCCCGCTCAGAATAGGGGTGGCGGGTGATCATGAAGGTAGCGTTTGTTCTTTGCCCCGGTCAGGACCTTCACGGCAGAATGATTGACAGGTGTGAAGGGGGGCGGGACGCTGAGTGCTGGTGATGTGCAGGCGACAGGTCTGTTTGTGTAAGGAAAGAGAACAGCAGGAGAGACACTCCAATACTGCTAGTGCAAGCATCACTGTTACTTAAAACGAAACCTTAATGCTAAGTATTGTTGAGCGTGTGCATCAGTATTCAGAGTTTGTGCTCTAGGCATGAACAATGAAAACAGGTGAAAAATCCCACATTGATTAAATATATATATATCTTCAGATATATTTTAAATATATTTTAAAATATACAAAAAAGGCCAATATATATCACAAATATAAATGCTAAAATATATACTTTTGATAAATGTATTTATATTTTTTTAGAGATTTTTAAAAAATGTGAAAATATTTAATTGTCCAAAATTTCTTTTAAACAAATATATTTTGCATTCACCCAAAATGTATTTTTAAGATTGGAATATATTTTGGCATTAAATTAAATATATATATATATTTATTTTTTGTTGTGCCATATATATGGGAAAGAGGTAACTGAGCCTAGACACTAGACACACCAGTAAGCATCCACCTAGCAACCACCCAGAATACCCTAGCAACCACACAGCAATGCAGTAAAAACTATTTAGAACACCTTAGCAGCTGCATAGCAACGCCCTCGCAACCATCTAGAACAACACAGTAACCTCACAGCATCATGCTGTAAACCATGCAGAACACCTTAGCAACTGCATAGAAACCACACAGAACATTGTAGCATCCACCCTGAAATGTGCTAAAAACTACTCAAGAACACCTTAGCAACTCCATAGCAACACCCTGGCAACCATCAAGAACACCATAGTAACTTTATAGCAACATGTAAAACTTTCACAACACTTTAGCAACTACCCAGGAATGTGCTAAAAAAAAAAAAAAACTACTCAAGAATGCCACATAGCAACACTCTGGCAACCATTCTACATCAAGGCCGTAAGTTAAACACTCAAATTTGTATGAAACATTAAATAAATATATTTTTACTACAGTGAAATTGTTAACTAACTAAGTGAATTAGACACTTCTGTCTTCTAAAATAAATTATAAATTAAAAACTCGGTCTGATGCAGATCCCATATTGATCTGATTTTACTGTAGGAAAATTACTGCTGGTAACCCCAATCTTTCAGTCTGACAGCACTTCAGAGGAGCTGAAGCTGTAAGTTACCTCAGATAAGAAGCATATGGTTATGTCGGCGTTGTGTAGGCCTACATATGGAACCGGTCAGCAGCAGCTAAAAAAAGCCTGGCAGGTGCACGAGAGATTTCGGTGGACGGAGCCGCCGTGTACCTCCGTCCCACAGGTGTTTGTTTAAAGAAGTTTGCAGAAATTGCCCTTTAATGACGTTACCCAACGTAAACATGCCGACCGCTCTGCGTATTTTCCCTACGCATTAAAAACGTGTAAATCCTTCCCGCTAATTGCTGGGCAAATATTTTTGTGGTATTTTTCAAATAGCTCTTATTCATCATGTGTCAGAGAGACTCAATTACAGTATTTCACCATTGCTGTAATCTCGTCCAAGTGCTCCTGAAACTCAAAGCATCCTTTTCATTACGATCGGCCTTTTTTGTCAGCCGTCTTCAGTTTTATTAATCTACTATGTGGGGTTCTTTAATCACTTGTAACATTTTTTCTGGCTTAACAGCCAAAAAACTGCATGTTGGGTTTTTCCCAAACGAGCCTGAAGGGTTGCAGTGGTGGTAAAAACTTTGGAAACATAAAACTTCCTTATCCTTGAACTATATGCATGATTGTGAAGTCAAACACATTCGAAAGGATTCACATTCAAGTTTTTGTTTTATTATAAATGCAATAATATGTAATATCAGTTTTATTTAATTTTTATTATTTTGCTATACATTTTATTTTAAAGTTATCTTTTAGGGTAGGATTTTATTTTTTAATTATTCATAAACTTTCTTTTGTCAACAGGTACCCATCTTTTAGGGGTAGGAATGGATGCAGTCATTTTATTTTATTATAATATTTTATTTCATGATTTTGTTATTTTTATAGATTATTTTATTGTATATTATTATAAATACAAGTATATTACTTGTTATTTTTAATTAATTTTGTTTATTTTATTTTTCAATTAATTTTTTTTTTATTATTATATATACAATTATTACATTTCAAAGTTTTATTTTGTTATAGTTTATCTTATTTTATTTTAAAGTTATCTTTTTTTTAATAAATGCAATTATATTTCAAATTTATTTTAGTTTTGAAATACATTTTTATTTTATTTTATTTTAAATACAATTACATTTAATTCCAATTTTATTTATAAAATTATTCATATTTTTTTTTACCACTTTAGTATATTCTCATTAATCAGTCTTGGCAGTGAAGTGTGTGTGTGTGTGTGTGTGTGTGTTTATTTTCATACTCCTCATCTCCTTTCATCTCTGCTCTCAGCCCACAGTGTGTTGCAATCACGTTGGGCTCCTGATGTGTGTATGTTTGATGCCCACTCAGCGGTCAGACCGGCGGTAGGTGGCGTCAATCGGGCGGCTGGCTTTCCTTTCCAGCCGGAGTAAAATCCAGGGAATTTTGGGACTTCACAGGTCACAGTGGGACAAAAAAAAAAGAGGATTTCCCCTTATTTAAAGCCAACTCTCTCTCTCTTTCGCTCTTGCTCTCTCTGTCGGTGCCGATATCTCAGTGTTGGTTTAAACACGGCTACCGTCGAGGTTTGTGGTTGGCAGGCTGGCAGGTCCTGGACTCCTACAGCCAGTGGAGACGGTTTTTAATGTCCTCCAGATGAACGGTGGAATTGATCTTCCACTTCTTACCTCATTACAGCTGCTAGATATCCCAGAATTCCTCAGTGCGGCTGAACTGCAGCCACACATTCACTCAGCAGGTTCTGTGAGCTGCCTGTTAGAACACTTTTATGAGTGTATATGTGTGCTGAGGACTCTATTTTTATTATTTAATTTTTTCATTATTTTCAAAATGTTAGATTTTCTATCTATATTTGAGAAGACATAAACAAGGAAAATAGTAGAAAATGTGTATCAAGATTTTAGAGTAATTTTGAATTGTCTTTTTGTTTTGATCAATGTCTAGAAAGCAGTTTTATTTTATTTTATTTTATTTTAGTTGTTATTTTATTCCATTTTTGTCTTGTTTTCCAGTTCAAATATCTAAACATTCCTAAATCAAGATACATTTTGAGAATCAAAATGACTTAAGATATTAAGTCTCATTTACTTAAAAAAATGAATTAAAATTAAGTGAATTTGTACTTTAAAAAAATTTTCTTTGAATTAAGTTTATTTTTCTTACCCCATTGGAAGCATAAATTAATTTAATTTCAATGAGCTTTTACAGAAAACAAGACTTAATATGTAATATGTCTTGTTTTAGGAATGTTTATGTATTTGAACTGGAAAACAAGACAAAAACACTGAGTGAGAAAATCATTTTTTGCAGTGTGTAATGATGATTTATACATTATAAACAGCAAATGAGATGTACACAAAATTACTGAAATGAAGTGACCCTGAATTAAAATGTTACTGTTGTAAAAATTTATAAATAAATAGTTTATTGTCCACTGAGAACAGTATAAATAGATGTTAGAACTAAATGATAATCCTAAAATAGCTAAATATCAGATAATTAATCAAAATAATCAGTTTTGTCTCTCCTCTCAGCGTCTGAGCCCAATCTGAAGGTGCGGTCCAGACTCAAGCAGAAGGTTTCTGAGAGACGAAGCGGACCGATACGCCGCAGAGACGGCAGCATCCTCGTTACGCCGCTGAAAAAACGAACTCTCGAACTAACAGGTGAGCAAACGACCATCTTCCTGAAACACAGATAAACAGCCCTTATATCAGAAAACACAGATCTGCAGCAAACTACTGTATGTGAAGAGATAAAATCTTAGCTAATCAAATCATATTTGATGTTTGATACACAGACCAATGAGCTTTAACTGTGGGTGGAGTTCACAGTCAGTATTAGAGCTGACCGCTGTAGTCTCTTTAAGCACTTCCTGTTCTCCTCCCCTGTAGATTCTTCAGCCAATGAGAGCCCTGCAGATTCTGGACCGAGCTCACCCATTGGCTTGTGCAACAATGAGAACGGCGCGTCATACCGGTCCAGCACCACTCAAATCGAGGTACCAAATATGCTCATCTCTCTTCTACATTTAAACAATTTAAGGGCTCCATATATATGTATTTTATTTTTTTATAATTGTCAGCAAGAAATTCTAATCACTTAAAATAGAATAAAATTTAGTTTGATCACTAATTTATATACAGTATTTTAATAAGTAAAGGTCAGAATAAGTACATTGTTTTGTTTTTACATGAGCAATATCACACCAGTTGCAGTGCGACATGGCTGTATATCGGCACGGCTGTGATTCGGCCGTATGCACGAGGCCGCAGGTAATCACGGTGTGCTGATATACAGCCATAATGCAATGCTACTTGTGTGATATTGCGTTTATACAATAGTTTGATGCCACGAGAGTGTAAATACATAAGAAATAACAATGGAGTGTCTTTAAAAACCCTCTTTTGTGCAGAACTACTTCCTTCCGCCACGGATTTAAATCTCAGTTTGACAGTTTAACAGCTGAGCTCAAGATCGTTACTAATTCGCGAACGTTACTTTAGAACTTTAGTAACGAAGGAACGTTGAGTTGCTTCATTAAAAGTTTATTGTATTACTGCGTTAAAAGCTCATTGTATTATGTCGAGTCGAGTACTATGAGAGAGAGACTGACTGAGCGAGTGTGATTACCTGCATCTGATACAGCATTCATTTTTCAGCTCAATCTCATATTCAGAATAAAACATTAGTTTGAATGTCCGCTGAGGAAAGCGATATCTTTGTCGTACTGTCCTTTCATCTGTCAAGGTTGATTTCCGATGACAGCGCTGCTCACTGCAGTTTTAACTGCATCTTACAAGCTGTTGTTGAAAGTAAGCACTTCCTTGTTCACCACCCTGTTTCAGTCTCTTTCAATAAAAAAGTCTTTACTGCGGACTCACTCAGAAAAATCACCTGTCACCATCTAATGGTGGAACAATGTAACTAAAATCACCATCACGAACACACGCACAGTTTCCCAGTACTAAATACTACTATTAAATGCTATTATTTATATACAATATTTTTTTTTTATAATACTTTTTCATAAACAACATCAACAACAGCCATCATAACAGTTGCTAGACAATTCAGTCAAAAGTACAAAGGCAGCGCTCTGATATACAGCATTGAAGTTTCATAAAATATAACGTTAAGAGATTTTGCCCTCAGCCAAAACTATTTGCTCTGGAACAAATAATAGATTAATGAGTCCAAAGACTGCCCGTGAGATTTACCCAAAACTAATTATATCTCATGTTTAACCACAATAGAGACATCAGAGCCAGTGGCAAATTCCAGAAGATCTGGCCGAGGTGAGGCTGCTCTCGCAGGGTTCATGAGCGCTGAACGCCGCTGACGCCCTGGAGCTCACATCTCGAAAACATCGAAGCAAATTTTCAAATAGACGTTATCTTTATTAACAAACTGTATATTTGAAGTCTAAACAAGCACATTCTCACCTAAAAAAATCTTAAATCTACATTCCATGACACAAAAACAGTATTTTTATTAAATTATAGTGGATTTGGGCGTCCGCCATGATTCTCACTGTGAGAAATACCGCAAGCGGAGTGATACAAATGGTGAAACGGTTGGAGTTCTGTTATCACTAGAATATCGCACTCCTGGAAAAGGCTCTCAGCCAATCAAATTCATTGACATTGGATAACAAAATCTTAAAGCAAGTGGCAATTCAGCAAACAAGTATTGCATAAGCATTTCTCAGAACTCACTTGTTTTTCTGAGCCATTTTTGCAGTGTCTTTTAATGAACTCTGTTTTTTGGGAAATATTTTGCTTGTAAAGTGGGTTTGTGCTATTCTTCAAATTAAATGTCCTCTTTTAACAAACTCTCTTTAAGCAAACAGATTAGTAGCCTTCAGCACATAAAGGCAGCTGTGGAACAGAGTTTCATACGCTTGCGTGCAGTTTTGAGCCTTTGATTGCATTCTTGAGAACTGAAGCATACAGCCCACAAAACTGGAACTAAATAAAATGGTCATGGTCCCACGTCTCATTACTCTTATCAGACTATGGGGTGAAGGAGTCGGGACCCCAATGATCTATTGTTTGGAGCTGAGAGTACACAGACCCCGTCCCAGGGTGCTCGTACCATCAGCCTGACAAACAAACACTGCGTTTAAAATCACATTAGAACATCATTGCAGCATGTAGAAGAGTTAGATGGAATTTGAGGTGTGTGTGTGTGTGTGTGTGTGTGTGTGTGTGTGCGTGCGTGTGTACCTGGTATTTATCACGTTATGGGGACCAAATGTGTGTGTACGGTGGTGCTGTGCCGAACTAACTGTGACAGCTCTTTTCCGCTGTGGTTTTGGCTGTGCTGGTGGTTGTGGAAGGGGGTGAGGGGCTCTGGGATGGTGAGGTTTGTTTCTCCTGTGAAGTTCTGCCCAAGCATTTCCTCACGGGCCGTGGGCCAGAACTCACCTCTCCTCTCCTCTCCTCCTGTAGGCACACGGCCGACTGAGTTCATCCTTACAGCCCTACAGCCAGTCATGTGTGTGAGCGTGAAACTTCACTGCTTCATGAGCTTCAAAACTATGACCTAAAGATGACCTCATGTCATTAACACTCACACCATTAACTGATACTGACTGACATGGTGCAGCATAACTACCTAAAACACTCTAGAAACCACCTAAAATCTACTGGGGAACATTCAGAACACTCTAGCAACCATTCAGAACTGAACAGCAACACAATAGAAAACCACTGACAACACCGTAGCAGCCACATAGAACACTGTAAGAGCTACGTGGCAACACCCTAGCAACCACTAGAGAACATTCAGAACACCCTAGCAAACACCCAGAACTACACAGCAACACACAAAAACCATTCACAACATCCTAGCAGCCAATAGAACACCATAACAACCACCTGGCAACACTCTAGCAACCACGTAGAACACTATAATAGGTACCTGGCAACACCCTAGCAACCATTCAGAACACCCTATAAACACCCAGAACTACATAGCAACACACATAAAACATTCACAACATCCTAGCAGCCAATAGAACACTATAACAACCACCTGGCAACACCCTAGCAACCATTCAGAACACCCTATAAACACCCAGAACTACATAGCAACACAGATAAAACATTCACAACATCCTAGCAACCAATAGAACACTATAACAACCACCTGGCAACACCCTAGCAACCATTCAGAACACCCTATAAACACCCAGAACTACATAGCAACACAGATAAAACATTCACAACATCCTAGCAACCAATAGAACACTATAACAACCACCTGGCAACACCCTAGCAACCATTCAGAACACCCTATAAACACCCAGAACTACATAGCAACACAGATAAAACATTCACAACATCCTAGCAACCAATAGAACACTATAACAACCACCTGGCAACACCCTAGCAACCATTCAGAACACCCTATAAACACCCAGAACTACATAGCAACACAGATAAAACATTCACAACATCCTAGCAACCAATAGAACACTATAACAACCACCTGGCAACACCCTAGCAACCATTCAGAACACCCTATAAACACCCAGAACTACATAGCAACACAGATAAAACATTCACAACATCCTAGCAACCAATAGAACACTATAACAACCACCTGGCAACACCCTAGCAACCATTCAGAACACCCTATAAACACCCAGAACTACATAGCAACACAGATAAAACATTCACAACATCCTAGCAACCAATAGAACACTATAACAACCACCTGGCAACACCCTAGCAACCATTCAGAACACCCTATAAACACCCAGAACTACATAGCAACACAGATAAAACATTCACAACATCCTAGCAACCAATAGAACACTATAACAACCACCTGGCAACACCCTAGCAACCATTCAGAACACCCTATAAACACCCAGAACTACATAGCAACACAGATAAAACATTCACAACATCCTAGCAACCAATAGAACACTATAACAACCACCTGGCAACACCCTAGCAACCATTCAGAACACCCTATAAACACCCAGAACTACATAGCAACACAGATAAAACATTCACAACATCCTAGCAACCAATAGAACACTATAACAACCACCTGGCAACACCCTAGCAACCATTCAGAACACCCTATAAACACCCAGAACTACATAGCAACACAGATAAAACATTCACAACATCCTAGCAACCAATAGAACACTATAACAACCACCTGGCAACACCCTAGCAACCATTCAGAACACCCTATAAACACCCAGAACTACATAGCAACACAGATAAAACATTCACAACATCCTAGCAACCAATAGAACACTATAACAACCACCTGGCAACACCCTAGCAACCATTCAGAACACCCTATAAACACCCAGAACTACATAGCAACACAGATAAAACATTCACAACATCCTAGCAACCAATAGAACACTATAACAACCACCTGGCAACACCCTAGCAACCATTCAGAACACCCTATAAACACCCAGAACTACATAGCAACACAGATAAAACATTCACAACATCCTAGCAACCAATAGAACACTATAACAACCACCTGGCAACACCCTAGCAACCATTCAGAACACCCTATAAACACCCAGAACTACATAGCAACACAGATAAAACATTCACAACATCCTAGCAACCAATAGAACACTATAACAACCACCTGGCAACACCCTAGCAACCATTCAGAACACCCTATAAACACCCAGAACTACATAGCAACACAGATAAAACATTCACAACATCCTAGCAACCAATAGAACACTATAACAACCACCTGGCAACACCCTAGCAACCATTCAGAACACCCTATAAACACCCAAAACCACATAGAACACTATAACAACCACCTGGCAACACACTAGCAACCACGTAGAACACTATAATAGCTACCTGGCAACACCCTAGCAACCACTCAGAACACCCTATAAACACCCAGAACTACACAGCAACGCACATAAAACATTCACAACATCCTAGCAACCAATAGAACACTATAACAACCACCTGGCAACACCCTAGAAACCACGTAGAACACTATAACAACCACCTGGCAACACTCTAGCAACCACGTAGAACACTATAACAGCTACCTGGCAACACCCTAGCAACCACTAGAGAACATTCAGAACACCCTAGTAAACACCCAGAACTACATAGCAACACACATAAAACATTCACAACATCCTAGCAACCAATAGAACACTATAACAACCACCTGGCAACACCCTAGCAACCACTGGCAAACATTCATTACACCCTAGCAACCACCCAGCAACACACAAAATCCAATCACAATGCCAAAGTAGCCACATAAAACACTATAACAACCACCTGGCAACGCCCTAGTAGCAACCACAAAGAACACTATAACAACTACCTGGCAACACCCTAGCAACCACAAGAGAACATTCAGAACACCCTAGCAACCACCCAGAACCAGACCTACACAGCATTACATTATAAACCATTCATAGCATCACCACACAGAACACCATAGTAACCATCTGGCAACATCCTAGCAACCACCCAGAACTACATAGCAACACATGAAAACCGTTCAGAACACTCTAGAACCATACAGAACACTATTACAACCACCTGGCAACACCCTAGCAAATACTGGAGAACATTCAGAACACCCTAGCACACTAAATCATTTACAACACCCACATAAAACACCCTAGCAACCACCTACCAACCACTAGAGAACACCCTAGCAACTAGACTAACTTCATAGCAACACACTAAAACATTTATAATATGCTAGCAACCACCTAGGACACCCTTGCAACTGCATAGCAATACTGTAGAAAACAAAGCGTTAGAGGGCTAAAGTGAAAATCCCATTCCTTAAAGTTATATACTTTAATAAAACATAGAATGCATTCTGGCTGTGATTTTGTCACATCATGCCTGGTTAAAGGGCACACACACATACACAGATTGACTGCTGCAGTGAGGAAGTTCATATGTCATTATCTAATTCTTTCCCTCCGAATGCTTATGCGAGGTTACGTCATTGATATGGGAGATCTACTGGTTCTCCTTCTTCAGATGTTCTTGATCTCATGCTGTACTGTTGTTGCTGTGCTTGTGTTCTGCTGCGTTATGTAAGAGCTGATGTAATGCTTTCTGTCTGTCTCTCCTCCAGCGTTGTCTGTCTCAGAGGGGCGTCCTACAGACAGAGGGGTCCATGTCCCTGTTGAATCTCTACACATCCCCCTCTCTGCCAAACCTCACGCTGGCTCTGCACCCTGCTCACGCACACATCTGTGTAAGTTCCTGTCCATCACATATACCTCAAACTCTACAAAGACACAAAAACAAAGACCTAATATAATATAATATAATATAATATAATATAATATAAGCAACCACCCTAGCAACCACTAGAGAACATTCATCACACCCTAGCAACCACTGGAGAGCATTCACAACACCCTAGCAACCACTAGAGAACATTCATCACACCCTAGCAACCACTGGAGAGCATTCACAACACCCTAGCAACCACTAGAGAACATTCACAACACCCTAGCAACCACTACACCCTAGCACACTAAATCATTTACAACACCCACATAAAACACCCTAGCAACCACCTACCAACCACTAGAGAACACCCTAGCAACTAGACTAACTTCATAGCAACACACTAAAACATTTATAATATGCTAGCAACCACCTAGGACACCCTTGCAACTGCATAGCAATACTGTAGAAAACAAAGCGTTAGAGGGCTAAAGTGAAAATCCCATTCCTTAAAGTTATATACTTTAATAAAACATAGAATGCATTCTGGCTGTGATTTTGTCACATCATGCCTGGTTAAAGGGCACACACACATACACAGATTGACTGCTGCAGTGTGGAAGTTCATATGTCATTATCTAATTCTGTCCCTCCGAATGCTTATGCGAGGTTACGTCATTGATATGGGAGATCTACTGGTTCTCCTTCTTCAGATGTTCTTGATCTCATGCTGTACTGTTGTTGCTGTGCTTGTGTTCTGCTGCGTTATGTAAGAGCTGATGTAATGCTTTCTGTCTGTCTCTCCTCCAGCGTTGTCTGTCTCAGAGGGGCGTCCTACAGACAGAGGGGTCCATGTCCCTGTTGAATCTCTACACATCCCCCTCTCTGCCAAACCTCACGCTGGCTCTGCACCCTGCTCACGCACACATCTGCGTAAGTTCCTGTCCATCACATATACCTCAAACTCTACAAAGACACAAAAACAAAGACCTAGAAATGCATGTTTTATATAATGTGGTTCTGAGCTAAATTATGGCCGGGACACACCAAGGCAATGTCAAAGAACAAGCGGCGACGAAAGCCAACTGTTTTGTCGCCTTGCAACGGACATTTCGGCCACCTGAGAAAACACATTCTTTATACCAGACCTGTACAACGCGCACACAAAAAGTGTGTACCTTTTAACTTTAATGTGCTATTAATATTTGATTTGACCCTTGATGTAACTAAATTATGCACATTTTAGGTTACCTGAGAAAACATTTTTACAGTGCTGTTACCTATTATTTTCTATTAAAAATAATAAAAAAAAAACTGTCACACACAATATAATATAATATAATATAATATAATATAATATAATATAATATAATATAATATAATATAATATAATATAATATAATATAATATAATATAATATAATATAATATAATATAATATAATATAATATAATATAATATAATATAATATAATATAATATAATATAATATAATATAATATAATATAATATAATATAATATAATATAATATAATATAATATAATATAATATAATATAAGCAACCACCCTAGCAACCACTAGAGAACATTCATCACACCCTAGCAACCACTGGAGAGCATTCACAACACCCTAGCAACCACTAGAGAGCATTCACAACACCCTAGCAACCACTAGAGAACATTCACAACATCCTAGCAACCACTAGAGAACATTCACAACACCCTAGCAACCACTAGAGAATATTCCAACACCCTAGCAACCACTAGAGAACATTCATCACACCCTAGCAAACATCCAGAGCTGCACAGCAAAACAGTAAAAACATTCAATGCGCTCAGAGTTGACCAGATACAAAAGTCTGCAATGAAAAGTCAAAGACCTCACTTGAGCTCAAACATTTCTCATCAAATACTGTAACCTGTAGCCTTCCACATTCATTTTATAGCTCTATACTCTTACTGTATGACAACTTTCAGCTCGTTCAAGAGGAGAAAAATCTGGAGACAAGGTCTCATGCGCTTTGAAAGAGCAACCTCTGTATTATTTTCTATTAAAAATAATAAAAAAAAAACTGTCACACACAATATAATATAATATAATATAATATAATATAATATAATATAATATAATATAATAACCACTAGAGAACATTCACAACACCCTAGCAACCACTAGAGAATATTCCAACACCCTAGCAACCACTAGAGAACATTCATCACACCCTAGCAAACATCCAGAGCTGCACAGCAAAACAGTAAAAACATTCAATGCGCTCAGAGTTGACCAGATACAAAAGTCTGCAATGAAAAGTCAAAGACCTCACTTGAGCTCAAACATTTCTCATCAAATACTGTAACCTGTAGCCTTCCACATTCATTTTATAGCTCTATACTCTTACTGTATGACAACTTTCAGCTCGTTCAAGAGGAGAAAAATCTGGAGACAAGGTCTCATGCGCTTTGAAAGAGCAACCTCTGAGAAATATGAGGCCTAAAGACAAAAGCAGCATCGCCGGCTCTCGTTCTGCTGCGCAACAGATATGAATAGATCCTGCAGAAAAAGCAAGGTATTTTTAGGAGACAGTGAGACACGGAGTCGCATCTATTTGTGGTGAAAGCACAAAATACTGTATGAGGAATGTGCCACGCGCGTTAGGAGACAGAGATGAGACGATCCTCTTTATAGAGCGCAGAGATGAGCCGTGTTTTTGCAGAGATGAGGGTTTGAGCTGCTGTTTGCGGAGGGTTTAGGAGCACGTCTCATTTTCTGCTTTCACTGAGTGCTTGTGTGGATTAATGGGGCCCGTGACCTCCGACCCGTGGGATCTTTAGCCCTTAGGTAAACAGGCCCTCGGTTTAGGGTTTCAGGGTGTGAGTTTAGCATCTCGTTCATCACGGGCTTTTTAAAAGTTTAAGAAATGGTGTCGGGAAAGCGCGTTAACATGCCAGCAAATCAAAACATGGATCACTTTTACCAAATACTTTCAACACTTCCACATTTTAAAATAGCTGAATGACTCACTAGGGAGATCTAAATGTGGATTGATAATTATGTGCACTTTATGGACGACGCCGGGGCACAAATGCTGACTGGATGCGTTTTAAAACAGCACAGTTATTAATATTTCATATGCTGGTGTTATGGAAGTCTCTCTCACGCTTGAGTGAAAATTTGTGTCTAAATGCAAAAATAGGAAAACGTTGAATATTAATAGTGTTTGTGCAATCTGTCTGTTTCAGACGGGAACGGCGCTGAAGGATCGGAGCGCAGAAGGTCTCGCGGCCGCCGCGTCTCCCGTCTCGATGGAGGCTAAAGTGAGCAACGGACAGCAGGCGCTCCTGCAACACCTCCTGCTGAAGGAGCAGAGACAGCAGAGGATGATGTCACCTGGTGAGCAGAACGCACAGGAAGTACATGTTCTTAAAGTGACAGCGGAACAGTATTATAGTTAACTAAAACTAAAATAAAAAAAACAATTACTTGAAATAAAATAAACATTAAATGAAATAAAATATAAAAAATCTTAAACTTTTTTTTAATTCAGTTAGTTGCCAAGGCAACATTTCTCATTTTTGTTTAGTTTAATTTTAAGTACTAAAATAATTCAAACATGATAAATTTGATGTGGATTTGTAGTGCCAAAAAATTGCGTCTTAACTGCATTCAATGAAAAAAAAAAAAAA